GTATTCTTCTAAAGTGGAATTAGTTTTCCAAGTTCAAAAAGCCCCATTGGTGTTTTGAATACCTATGCTTTTATAGACTAATAGAAGGAGAATTGATATTGCATGGCCTTGCTTTCCCAGAATTTATTTAAATTTTCCTCGTTATCTCTTGGCAAAGCCCTAGGATTTATTATATAACCCTTGGGATATTTATTACTAATTTCATTCTCAGATATTTTATAGTTGTGTTGCTATTGTGAATGGAATTTTTATTATACTTAATAATTTATTTTGCTGGTTTATAGAAAGAAAATTGATTTTTGTATATTTAATTTGTAACCTGTCTGCTTACTTAATAGTTGCCTTATATCTAATAGATTTTGAGTTTCAGTGGATTTCTTTGGTTTGTTTTAGTATATAATCAATCTTCCAATAATGATAATGTGATTTCTTCCTTTCTAATATGGTATGACTTATTTTTTCGTATCTTATTGAACTGTCTGGAACTTGTCTAATAATGGTAAATAACAGTGGTGAGAGTAGATCCTAAGTTTGGCCATAGTTTTAACAAGGACTGTGTTATAGTGAAGTATGATTTTGACAACTGGTTTTACATAAGCCTCTGTTATTGTTATTGTTAATGAATACTTATGTAACATCTAATGGACCAAGTACTGATCTAAATTTTTATATATATTAGTTCACTGAATTATCTTAGCAACTCCATGAATTAGGGATTATGATGATTATTACGATTATTATTTCCATTATATAGATTAGAAAACCAAAGAGGTCAAAGGATTCCCCAAGACCATTCTATTAGAAGTGGAAGCACTGGGAATACAGCCCCAGCAATCGGGGCCCAAGGGTCTGTGTTCACACCCATCACAACAGGCTGCCCTCTCAGGCTTATCAAGTGTCCCAGTTTGCTCATATACCACGGCTTGTATCAGAAATGAATTTATCCATCCAGAGGTTCCTGCTTTTTTCTCTTCTGCCCTTTTATCTCTTACTGTGTTAACTTCTACATTAGTACATTTCCTAATGACACCATCACCACGCAATTCTTAGAAAAATACTCTCTAGATCATGTTGTATAATTTTTATATACTATATTCCTATTTCTGAACATAAGCAACTTTTTCTATGAGATATAGATATATTTATATATCTTTATCTATCTATCCATATATCCATGAATGAGCTTGGTTTGCTGCCCTATTTATGTGCTATAATGATCAGTTTTGGTATTAAGGCTATGCTAATGTTTTAA